TGATAAGTAAGGGCTTCAACAGCCCTTACACAGATATATCAGGTTTTGGGCAGATCATTGAATAATATGGACACCACCAGCACAGTGTTGAGGTACCTGGCATTACGTTCATGGATGGGCACATATTCATATTACAGGTGCCTTCAGTTGCCCCGAGCTACCTAATTTATTTATGGATAATCATCTCCCTTCTATGATTAAGTTGGATAGAGTGATCTCGGCAACAGATCGAGCTCATATTAAATTGTTTATGTTTTCTTCTCTATGTATGGTTGATCGTTTCAAACTCATTTACAAATCTCCCATTAGGAATTTGCCATCTCGGAGCTTCAATATTGTATTGAAATAGCCCGTATTTTAACCCTAACAAATAAATGTTTTCAAAAGTCATTATAAGTCCAAATAAGAAATATTTTTATCATAACATAGATATTATAGTGATTTAATTATATTAATTTTTTTATATTATCAGTTCTTTAGCTAGCTTTGCTAATGCATTAGCTGAACCATTTACACCACGGGCGATTTTAAAAAGGGTCACCTCAAGAATTTTTCCGTAAGAGTTGCAGAGCATACTCATGATATGAGATTTACTCTGGCTTATTAATTTTAAAAGTAAATGAAATTTATTTGATTATCAATTGAGAATCTTCATATATGTAGAGTTTCAAGATTTTCATATTATTTGCAAGCTCAAGTCTCGTTAATAAAGCTTCATATTTCGCTTCATTGTTAGTGCAATGTTCGATTAAGCTGTAAGAGTATCGGAGTATGCCTCCTTGCAGGGTAACGAATATGACGCCAATACCAACCTGAACTATTGAAAGGTTAGGTGGCTTGATGGGTTTTATTGATGGCTCTATCAAAATAGAGCTCCCATTCCTTTAGATGCACTCTTTCTTCCACTTCGAGTATATGCTCATCCAGCAACTCATCATTAAGTAAAGTCTGCGAGTAAAGGATGGGGGGCTGGGGCTTGTCCTTTTATAGCCTTTTGTGGAGTGTATATAATATCAAATTGCACTAACACTACACACCTAGCCAAATGACCTATAAGAGTAAGTCTGGTCATTAGAAATTTTAAAGGATCCACTTTAGATATCAAAGTTATTTTATAAGCAAGCATATAATGCCATAATTTATTTGTAACAATGATTGATGTTAGTCATTGCTTTTCGATTGGTGAATATCTTGATTATGGCCCTATTAGCCATCGACAAATGTAGCAAAGGGCATTTTCTTTGTCATTTTTATTAATTTTTACTAGCAATGCCCCAAATGATTCCTGAAGAGCTGCTATATATAAAATTAGTGGTTTTCTTGGGATAGGTGCAACAGCAATTGGAGAATGTAGCAAATATTATTTAATGCTATCAAATGCCTCATAACAAGCATTGTTCCATATAAAGGGGGAATTTTTCTTCATTAGTTAGGCAAAGGGTTGAAATCTACCTATGAGATTATAGATATAAACATTCGAATATACGCCAATCTTCTTCCGATTGAACGATGTTATCTTAAATTTTTCAGGGTAGCATTTCCACAATTGCTTTAATTTTACCAGGATCAATTTCAATTTCCGCAATTGCTTTAATTTTAACGGAAGCAATTTCAATTCTACTATGGCGCATAATAAATCTCAAATATTTTCGAATGAAACACCAAAAGCATATTTTAGTAGATTTATTTTCAAATTGAATTTTTGACTTCTTTTGAATACAATTCTGAGATCATTTACATATTTATGTTGAATTTTACATTTTACAATCAAGACGTCAACATAACACTCGATGTTCATGAATCAAATCATCGAAAATATGAATCATTATTCTCTGATAGATAGTCCTAACATTGTTTAGGCCAAATGGCATAAGCTTGTAGTAATATATACTAATCAGAGTATGGAATGACGTATGTTATTCATCTTCTAGATCCATCTTAATTTGATTTTAACATGATGACCCATCCATTAATGAAAACACATCATGGTTCGATGTATTATCAACCATGAGTTCTACATTGGGTAGTGAAAAATCATCTTTTGGGCATGCCTTATTCAAATCTCAGTAGCCTATGCAAACACCGATTTGACCATTCTTTTACCTTACTAACCATTCTTTTAACTTACTAGGACAATATTAGTTATCTAGTCAGTATATTTTTCTTCTGGAATAAACCTAACTTTAATAATCTTTTTATTTGAACTTTAATAATCTTTTTATTTCAGCAATGACGTATTCTTTAATCTCAAGTCATATTCTTCTAGGTGCCTATTTGACAGGTGTCATTTTCATATCGAAGTCAAGCTTATGTAATACCTCTGGTGATAATCCAAGCATTTTAGTATAATTCCATAGGAAAGTCTTTATACTCAAGTAACATTTTCAGCTCTTTCGTTTTATCATGTGAGAGATTAGTACTGAGAAATGTTGGTTTAGGCTCCTCTTTAATGCCCAAATTTATTTCTTTGAGCTTGCCTCCAATGGCTTGTCCACTCTCTTCAAACTCTTTTGAACCTTACTTTAGATCCACAATAAGGTCTTTAGCTTGATTTTCAGACTTAGGTAATTCCTTATCTTTATCTGTAATGTTGTAGAATGTTACTCGTGTATGATTGATTGAGTCTTAGGATATTTAGGAAGTGAAATTTTATGAATTATTTTGCCTTATGATTGATGTGTTTTATCCCAGGAATATGGATCCAGAGCAGAATGCCACTGAAGGCATTGATATGGAGAAAGGGAGGGAGCTATCAGAAGTAGCAAAACCTCAGAGGAACAATACTATGGAGTCATTCGCTCAGATGATGGAAGCGATGACTCGGATGATTAAGACTTCCCAAAATCAGAGCAGTGGCAGTGGAAGTGGAAGCCGACCTATGGATAAGAACCTGAAACTATTTCAGGATATGAAGCATCTACTGTTTTCAGGTGGCAGACCTATAGAGGCTGAGAACTGGATGATTCGGATTGAGAAGATACTGGAGGGCATGTCTATCCAAGAGGATAGGAGTGTGACATTGGCTGCTTATGCCTTTGATGGCGAGGCTGAAAGGTGGTGGAGTTAGTTAGAATAAACTTTTGGAGGAAGACCAAGCAGCCAAGTCTCCTGGGAGGAGTTTGTGAAGGTATTCAGAGATTGGTATGTACCTATGTCAGCCATGAGACAAATGCAGGATAAGTTCAATACCTATGTCCGCACAATATTGTTATACAAGATACTTAATGAGGATTGAAACATTTAAGGAAACCTTATTCCTCAATTAATTCAATTCAACCTCCAATTCATCAAGGTAGAAACTGCAGACTTCATTTTCAGTTGTTAAATGGAAATTAAAACCTGAACTGCCAACCTCTTGCACTCTTTCATTAGTAAGGACGAATTGTTATCAGCTATCTTTTCCTAGTCTAACCTTCTTGCCTACTTTCAAAGCTTTATCATTCTCAAATGAATCGGCAGCTTGTTAGAAATTCAACTTATACGGGAGATCAGAAGAGAAAAGAAACTTGCATTTGATAGCTTAGCTCTTTACGTGAACACCAGCCACACAACAAGTATATTTTCCCAGATTTGAAAAAGGATTCCCTTCAAGGGTAGCGCTAAATGGTAACACGGGCCACTTAATCAATATAATCTTTTATTGGTTCCTACCGCTAGACCTAATATCAAGGATAATGAATGGCACATAATATTTGCAAAAAAATTTAAAAATAAACTGCAAATATATAGCTCGAGGAAAGACATTCATGCCCCGTCCAAGTTCTTTTTGCAGACAACATCAGACATCTTTTCTTATGATAGCTGCTTCTTTATGGATCGCATTACATAAAAAGAATGTACCATATACTCAGCTCGATGATGCCAAAAGCAGCTCTTAATAGGAAGGGAGAAGGATACGCTAAGTCAACACATTGGAAAAGGCTAGTGTTGTTTATGACCATATATATATATATATATATATATATATATATATATATGAGCAAATTTGCAAAGTATTTTATAAGACGTCATGCTGAACTCCAACATGGGATAAGTATGACCAGCTAGGTTACTGAGGTAGACAAGGGAATCAAGACACAGGGAGCTTGCAAATATCAACAAGGTGTGTCGTAGGCAGTCCAAGATTCAGGTAACCACACATACGGTATCCAAATCATTTATACACTCAACAGATAGGGAGGAACCACATATAAGATCCCCTTATTGTAAAACTGATTCCTCAGAGCCCTTATATACATCCTTCGTAACTGATATAATGCTAACAGAGAGGCTGTATCTGCAACCCGCTCAGATATCACAATGTCTGTGCTTTTGCGTCGCCAGATCTTTTCAATCATGATTAATACAAGTGTTTCGAGCTGTCTTGGGCTCAAACAATTTTAATTGGCATCACCCACCTAACTAAAGTGACCCATCTTCAATAGAGTTTGAACAAGTTTGACAAGTTTTGTAATTTGGTAGGGTGATGTGCCAAACTTTTGGGTAGGTAGATCATGGATGCATTTGGTGCTTCACTTGGCTGTTGTCATTCTAGGACATCAATATGAACCTCCACTAAAGATTGCAGTTTGGCTTTATCACATAGCAATTACAATCATTTCTACACTTCATTAGGACTTTATTGATGTCAACATCATAAGAATACATTGAGTAAAATAACATTCATGGATCATAAAAAGTGAAATCACCACTCATAGAGATGGTATATGAGTTCAATTCTTCAAAGCATGATATCGCAAGGGTTTTATATTACCAAATGCACTAAAGATCTTCCTTATATAGTACATGAACATATACAGACAATTTGTGCCCTTGCAAAAGAAAGACAGCATAATTTTTGAAAGAAATGCATAAATAAATCAAATAAGCACAATACATCAGAAGATAATGAATTAGAAAAAAAATAAAAACAGGAAGGACATGCATAATTTCCGATGCATAAAATAACGATGCTGTATAAGAGATGTCTACAACAAGCTATTTCCAATAAATAACAGTACCTTGAATGGTCCGTTGTTTGTCCGGAACTCTATACCATGTATGTCACGTAACCAAACTGGAAAACCCCTACATTCATAGCAGAAATATAATCAAATAAAATACTGGCACATCAAATGACTGCAGTCAGGAGCACTACCCATATAGTAAATATTTTTTTAAATTCAAATTATTAGAGAGGGAAAAGCTTAATTTTATTATACAAAATTATCACTATTTATAAATCTATACATAATGTCTTAATAAAGAAAAAATTAACTATAGAATCATGCATAATTTCCTTAATATAATCCTTCCTAAATCAACCACCCAAACTTCGAAGGAGATCGGCGTGATTCAGGTGAGCCTCACATGAATTCCCATTCTGGCCATGGGATCAAGTGTCAAGGGATGACTGGAATTTAACAGAGATCGGCATGATCTAGATAAGCCTCCCACGGATTCTCATCATGGCCATGGGATCAAGTGTCAAGGAACGGCTAGGATTTTAATACTCCCCCACAAGCTGAGGAATACATATTTGTCATTCCCAGCTTGGTGATTAGTCGAACAAAAGTAGAATTATCAAGTTCATTGATGCACCATAGAGTCATTCAAAACTTTGGGAGAAGTTAGATTCAGACACTGCGACAACGGCAAATGATAGCGATTAAGGCTATATCCATCAAAGCCTGCAAGGTGTGGGGCAACAATGAAGGTTGTGCTGGACAATAGCCCTCAAGATATTGAAAATGGAAATAAAGGTCGGTGGTGGGAAAGCAGAGAAAGTGGATTAATTATAGTTCGGGTCCATCTCCCTCTCGGTTCTCAAGGAAGGCCGACAATGAAAGCATGACAACAAAAAAGGAAAAAAACTTTATTTTTTAGGGTTGCGGCAAGCTTCAAGGACATGAGCAGAAATACATAACTCAAGCGACTCAGCACTCAACACGTAGAGATCTCCTACTTCACAGGTCATCCGACTCCACCTGAACAAACTCCTGTTCGATAAGCCAATATAGGTGCATGCAAAGCCTCTGATCACTTGGGTTTGATCGTAAGAGATAGTGCAGGTCTTGCACTCTTGCTTGTCCCTGACCCCGCATGAGAGAGAACTCTCGGCTCTTTCCAAACACACACGGGACGAGGTCCTGCGCTCTGTTCTGCTCGGTCGACTCTGGACATCACATGCAAGAGGTGCCCTCCAGCTTGATCTCTCCTCAGACTTGGATGGAACATGTATTCCTCAAAATTCCGACAATGAAGGCCGGTAGTGGGAACCTGTATTACTCAAAATTATAAAAATGAAGGCCGGTAAAAAAATAGGTATTCCTCATAATTCCGACAATGAAGGTCAGTGGTGAGAATCTAGATTCACCAAAATTCCGGCAATGAAGGCCGATGGTGGAAACCTGTATTCCTAAAAATTCTGGCAATCAAGGCCGGTGGTGGGAACCTGGAGAACCAGTAAGCCCTAGCTCCTTCAGGGTAGGATAAAGTGCTTCTAATCTTTATGTAGCCTCACCCTCGATATCCACAATCAACTCCCTAGAGAAGTAGTGTACTTCACCATCTGTGTGCTCACCAACTCTTCAGTCACCGTAAGCACACACTGGACCATAGAAGTGAACTACCTTACCACCAAGAAAGCCATCTTCTTCCCCATAGCGTGCATCGTCTAGGAAACTCCATATATCATGACCATTCCTTAAGCGAGCTTCGAATCAAATAAATTGACTTTAGTCCAAATTTGACCGACAAGGTTCTCAATAACAATTCTGTCAACGACAGTGAAGAAGGAGAGAGCATGGATTACGAAGTGGCGTTCGCCCGATTTGAGGGATTGGTCCAAATATTGGTGGAGATCTTGAGAGAGGTTCACTTCTTTTGCTATTCAAAAGGAGGTTTCGGCCTTCTTGTACATCTCACAGATCTGAAGGTAGCAGATCAAGAACATGCAGAAGCGATCGTGATTTGGGGCAAGGAGGGGCTCTTCGAGTGGAGGATTTGATGGCATGTACAATAGCTCTTCAACCGTTTGTTCCTTGCTCGGTTTGACTCCAGCACACGCATGAGGGTAGGTCGTCCCTTCTTAGGCACACACGTACGCAGTTCCTGCTTGCTCCATCTCTTGATCCACTTTTTTTTTCAGTTCAACCCCCAAGTAGGGGTCTCGTGTGCCTTCTCTAGCCACACGCAGAAGACTGAAAGGGGAAGCCCTCTTACTTGTTCGACTACTTAGGACGTACACGAGTCGGAAGAAGAACTCAAGAACAACATTTAGCACAATCTCGATCAATGAGCTCCCAGGAACACGTGCAGAATCTTCTGGTTGCACGCCTCTCCTGTCCCGTTTGGTCGCACGCATACGAGAGGGGTTTACGAGACGTTCGTCTCTCTCAATTGAATGTAGAGACCACGGGGTTCTCGCTCGAATCCTCCAGATGAGACGCACTAGACTTTCGTCTCTCTCCATCAAATGAAGAGACCACGGGATGAGGCACTCTCCCCCTCTTAGATGGACATATGCATGAACAAACAAACCAAAATACACTCCCTTTCGTTTCTGAAGGGTCGTGCCTTCCATTCAAAAAGTCCGACAGAAAAAACTCAGAATTTCGACCAAGGTAATGAATGCTCTTATACCACATTTAATTCAAAAAATTAGAGAGAGAAAAGTTTAATTTAATTATACAAAAGTATCCATATTTATAGATATATACAATGTCTTAATAAAGAAACAAATAACTACATAATCATGCATAATTGCTTTAATATAATCCTTCCTAAATCAACCACTCAAATATAGAAGGATATCGATGTGTTCTAGGTTAGCCTCACATGGATTCCCATCCTGGCCATATGATCAAGCGTCAAGAGACGGCTAGGATTTAACAGAGATCGGCAAGATCCAAGTAAGCCTCTCATAGGTTCCCATCCTAGCCGTGGAATCATGTGTAAAGGGACGGCTGATATTAATGTAATTAATAAACAAAATAGGATCAAAATGATCCATTAACTTTTATGAATAATCAAAATGATCACTAACTATATTAAAGGATCATTTTGGTCGTTCAAATCCTTTAAAAAGAACTAAATTAGTCCCTTGTTAGGAATATTTTATTTCCTCTTTAAAGAGTAGAGGGACCAAAATGATCATTTAATATAGTTAGAAACTGCTTTGATCTTTCATAAAAGAGTCTAGAGACCGTTTTGATCATTTTCTCATTTAATAAACAAAAAAAGAGATCATAATATGCATAAGCAATTGATGAGGAAATATCTTAATTTTATTAATGATAAGCATGCTAGAAGTGGAAGCAATGAATCCCAGTAAATAAGTATAGCATGTATACAGAAAATACTTCTGTTCATAGGAATTGCTAAATTCATCTATTGGCAAAAATTAAAAACATGATCCTTTCTAACAAGGTTTTAGTGTACATGTACCTGTAGCAGTCCAGGATAGATATGCCGTCACTTTAGCGTTTGAACCACATCTTTACTGAACATATATACCAGTTGTCTACACTCAACTCAAAAGGAAAATATCTTTCAGGCATCCCATTTCACCTTTCTAATATTTTGGCCAAGGTCCCAAAATATAGATCATGGACACTCATAGTTTCTTTACAACTGAACTATACATGCAGCAAATTCATTGAACACTAAAAAAATTGTATCTGTACGTTCCTTTCTCCTTATTGTACTTGTAATTATAAAAAGATTTTCTGTATCACACCTACTCCCTCTTTCTATTATAGGCTTAACCTAAAGCTATTACTACAACTATTCAAATGGTAGATTTCTGCATTGTATCAATACAAAAAATCTTTCTCAATTTTCTCTTGCTTTCAGCACGTATATTTATTTACATAATATTTGTTCTTACATGCTAATACATCCTTCTTGGTCAATTTAGATGGTTATGTAGGCTTATTTGGATGCTTGCATATGCGACATTTGATGTGCTACATGAATATGCATAACATAAATATTTGTTAATAGAAATGCATAGCAGGATACACAAATATATGATATTATTTATGCAAGTAATAAGTAATCAATAATTTGTTTTATAACCAAATTTATTTGTGTTGGAGTTGTGGTCAAATGGGACAACGAGAGGCAGGATATGGCAGCACTCCAACAAACCCTAAATCAAATCCCACCTCTTACAAAGTTTCATACCTCTCGACCTCTCACATTTGCCTCATGTTGCAGCTCACTACATTTGATTGTCGTACCCTGCAACTTACCGCATCCCATCATACTCCCCTCACAAGGTGACTCATCATGTACCTAGACCGCATGCTACTCGCCATGCCCATGGCCTCTTATCATGCCCTCCTGTTCTCTCGTTGCATCACATCTCGCCACACCCACTCACATGCCTGTGTCATTGTCCTAAACCACATGCCCCAAGGCACTCTCTCTCTATCTCTAGCACCTCGCGGGGCTCACCTTGTTACCCTCATGGCTCTCTTTCTTTTTTTTTTTGTTGCTCCCTCATGACTACCTATCCAGCATTACCAAAGCACGTTTAAAACTCAAACATATGTCAGACCATTTCTTGTGTCATTGTTGTCTTCGATGGCATCACATCCCCACCTCCCTATCTTTTTTAATGTGGAGTTTAACTTCCATTTTACTTCCTAAGGCTTCCCATTGATTTTCACCTCCTTCATGATATGTCTATCATGATTCTTCTCTTCCAGCATCACACTATGATCTCACGTTGGCGCGATTCCTTTGATCCCAGTTTCGGGTTCCCTGGTCTTGCTCTATTAGATGTTGATTCTTCCATGGGATACTCTTCTATTGGTCTCACAATGTCATTGTCATTCAATTTCTACAATCAAGATAAATTATGCTGCAAATGCTCCTGCAACAAAGCCTATTGTTCCCACTTTTTTCTTTTGCTAATGTTGCTAGGAAGAGGGGCTCTCGACACCACTCCATCTACCAAGATTGGTCCATTCCTTCAACATGGCTTGAATTTTACTAAGATTTAGTCACCAATTAGCTACCATTATATATTAACTCTCATTTTTTTTCTTAAGAATAAAATTTCGGATATGGCAGTAACATTTCGCTACATTTTAATTGAAAACTATGCCTTTAGCCGCCCGAATTTTATAAGTATTCATGCTTTCAAGTCTAATTTATATCTTATTGGAGATTTCTCTATTTGATAATGCTATTGAAAGTTCTTGGAAAGAAAAGGGATTAATAATACTTATATTCAAGTCATTAAAAATATGTAGGCAGAAGTTGTTAGTTGTGTTCAAACATAAGGTGATTTGATCAAGTATTTTCCTATTTCAATTGGATTACATCAAGGATGAGTCTTAAGCTCATATCTTTTTTGCTTTAGTCATGGATGTTCTCATTGGACATTTACAAGAGGTTGTACCCTAGTGTATGCTTTTTTTGATGATATTCTTCTTGTTTATAAGACTAGAGAGGGAGTTGAAGGTATACTTGAATTATGGAGGACAACCATAGAGTCTAAAGGTTTTCATTTGAGTAGATCTAAAATCGAATATATAAAGTATAATTTTAGTAGTAATAGATCCACAGGGGGAGTTGTGACTTTGGGCGAACTAGTCATTAATAAGAGTATTTGTTTTAGATATCTTGAGTCAATTGTTCAGAGCGAAGGTGAAATAGATGGGGGCATTATTAGTAGAATGCAAGTAGGATTGTTGAAGTGGAAGAATGCATATAACTTGTTGTGTGATAGAAAAGTCCCCTCAAACTTAAGAGAAAATTCTATAAGGTGGTGGTGAGACCTGCAATGCTTTATGGTGCAGAATATTGGCCATTAAAAGAGAAGCATGATATTAATTATAGCATTGCAAAGATGGGGATGCTCAAGTGGGTGAGTGGCTTTACTCTTAGAGAAAATACAAAACAAGCATATATGTAAAAAAGATGGAGTAGCTCAAGTGGAAGATAAGATTAGAGAGAGTCTCCTTAGATTGTTTGGTCACATAAAAAAGGCGATCATCCGATGACCCGCTTAAGAGAGTAGATGTATTAGATTTGTCTTATGTTAAGAAAGGTTGAGGTATATCTAAAAAGACATGGTTAGAAAATATTAGAAATGATCTTTCTTTATTAGATTTAAATTATAATTTGACTCTTAACTGAACACAATAAGAAAAAAGGATTCATGTAGCCAACCTCATGCAGTAGGATAAAGGCTTGATGTTGTTGTAATTGTTGTTGTTGTTGTTGTTGTTGGAGATTTCTCTATTGGACTTCTTCATCATCATCACTATGTATCAAACTATCCATCTAACCAAATAATTCAAGGCTTTTTCTCACCGCTAATGTTATATGAATAATATTTTGATGCATATGATGAAGTGGCCTCCATTATTTGATCCCCTCACAAAGCCTACTATAAACCCAATTTAGGTAATATTTCCTCATTATTCATTTCATCAACCAATCAATAATTTACCTATAGAGATAATTTATAGATAAACCAATAGAAGTAACATATGTTATCGATAGATTCACACAATTGTTTGTTCCATGTTCTTGTTGTAATAGATGTTTCGGCTCCATTGGCTATTGAGATATGGATTGACACTTTACATGGAATTATTAGTAAATAGTACAATTTGAGGAAAAATTATTCTATCCGGATTCCACCCCATCCCCCAATGAAAATGCGGCACGTCCGGTACCGAGCTTATATCGAGCGGTACTCGGTACTCAGTACCGCTCGGTACCAGAATGTGAACCGGACGGTTCTCTCGTCGGGTGTCTGCACAGAATAATCTCTCCAATTTGAGGATCCTTCTTCATATTGCCACTCTCGAAGAACAAATTTCCATAAATACATTGAGTGCTTTAAGGCTTATCCAAAATTACAAAAATCATCTTGCAGGAGCCTTACCTATCGAACAATCATATCATTTGATAGTTCAAATCACATTCAATTAAGATTTTATGTGCAATACATTAGAAGAAATTATTTAATTACACAATAATTAAGTTATTATGCTAACACTTTTATTCTCCATAAACCTCTTGCCCAATTATTTTTCAATTATGGTTGATGTCATATCTTACTAGAATTTTGATCAATCTATTACTATTGTTATTACTATTTTATTAAAACCTTAAATACATTTGTTCTCGATTGACAATATAATTATTATTCCAATTACTTATAATGATAAATTTATTGATTTGATATCTTCAAAAAAAAATTAGAATTAATTAAATAATATTTAAATTTTATAATATTATTTAATTTTTAAATTTTTTAACATGCATTTAATGCTCATGCAATTATACTAGTATAAAATAAAAAAGTAAGTGTTAGCACTGCTACTATACGAAGGGATAAGGATGTTATAATTATGTGCATACATTTATAGGTAGCCATGTTTCTAAATGAAGGTAGTGTATGTATCCATGTGCCAAGGTAAAATCTGCTTGTAAAAGGAATTTAATAAGCTAAAAATGATCACCTCAACACAAATTTCAATTCAACCATTTCTTACAAGGCATTATTTTCCTTCTTTCAGTAAATTAACTCACTTATTATAGTCTTATTAAAGTCGCTTAATGACAAAGGTGGTGCCATAACTTTCTGTTATATTTGCTTGATGAAATATATATGCCTTTTTTTTCCCTTAAATTATTTTGCTATAATCCTTGTGCGAATTTCGCAAAAGAAAAATCCTCCTTGTTTGCCTGGGACCAATTTGCATTCTAAAAAATAATAGCTATAACAATAAAATCGTATTGTCATCTATCATAAGAATAACTTTTTCAGTTGTACTGATTAAAGTACCAATATAGGAATCTAACAAGATAAAATGCCCAAACTTCTTTTTGATTAAATATCCTAATTTCCAAAAGAATTAATGAGAGGGAGAATGACCCGAAGTTCCACTCAGCACATGCATAGGGACCAATGCGAAGATGAAAGTAAAGTCCGCTTGAACCAACCAGTTTCACAAACTTAACAAGATCATACCTTCCTTCAAAATAGTACTGCAAACAAGCAAAATGAGTTTTTTTTGTTTTTTTTTAAAAATGAGGATAAGATATAATCCAAAAAAGATTAATTGTCTGATACCTGACCTCTAACAGGCTCGTGCCCATTCCAAAATACATATGTTTGTATTACATCAGCTCCGCCTTCCTTGCACTTAAGAATTATACCAGGCCACATCTGACATATGAAGGACATGTCAGACTACCCAACAGAAGGAATATACATATCAAAAAATGCAAATCATAGCCCAGTATATATATATGGAATTAAAAGTAAACAGAAATGTGCCAAAACAAGAAAACTGAGGCAGTCATCATACTTGGATTATAAAGATGATCAATCAATAATTTCCTTATTCTTTAAGATAAAGGGGGCGAAAAATAAAAATAAAGTAAAATGATTTTTTAGGATTAGATTGGGGCATTTAAAGAATATTAAAAAAATATTTTTGAGAGTAAGATTTTAGATCTTAAGATTCTGTCTGTGCATGAGGATGCCAATATTATGTGTGAAAAAGTGACTTGTAATATTAAGAATATTGCAAAAGATGTGCTTGGAGTTTCGAATAGAAAGTCTCCTAATAGTAAAAATAGTTGGTGGTGGAATCCAAATGTGCAAGAAAAGAAAAAAAATAATAAGATTTGTTATAAAAATTAATTTAGATGTAAAAATTGTGATAATTGGGAAAGCTATAAAGAGGCTCGTAAGGAATCTAAGAAAGCTATTTGCGATGCAAAGAGCTTAGCTTTTAATGATTTATATAATAGATTAGATACTGAGGGAGAAAGATATATATATAAGTTAGCCACACAAAGAGATATGAGTAGTAAGGATTTAGTTCAAGTGAAATGTATTAAGGATGAAGATCTAAAATTAGTTTTCTTAGAAGATGATATTCAACAAAAATGGATGAGGTATTTTGCTAAACTTTTTAATGAAGAATGTGAAGATAAGATTGGCTTTAGTGACTTTATCACCTTAAATGAAAATAAATATTTTTGTTTTTATCAGCGTATAAGTAAAATCAAAGTTAGAGAGGATTTTAAAAAATGAAGTATGAAAAAGTTGTTGAACCTGATGATATTCCAATAGAGATGTGGAAATGCTTAGGAGATGTAGGAATTTTTTGGCTTACTAAACTTTTTAATACTGTTTTGAAAACTAAAAAGATGTCAGATCAGTGGAGAATGAGTGTGTTAATTCCTATTTTTAAGAATAAAGGTGATGCACATGAGTGTGCGAATTATAGAGGAATTAAGTTAATATGTCATACTTTAAAACTATGGGAGCGAGTTATGGAGCGTAGGTTGCGACGTGATACTAATGTTTCTCAAAATCAATTTGGATTCATGTCGGGTAGGTCTACTATGGAAGCCATACATTTATTGAGAGGTTTGATGGAGAAATATAGAGAGCTACTTCTTCACTTCTTGTTGCTTCTTCCAAGACTTCTAATCATTTTCTTCTCTCCACAAGTATCCACCCCATTGTATCTTTCTTCTAAAAAAATTGAGAGTGGTGTTGGTTGGCAAGCTTTGTTGGGATATGCCGGAGGAGTTGAGGCAGACATTGGTTTAGTTCAAAATAGCTATGGTGGACCTCAAGTTTGCATGTTCTTAAGCATTCTATTTACCTATTTTATCGATGCATGTGAAGTGACCACTAGTTGATTGTTCTGAGGGTAGTTTGTTTTGGTTTTCTTTCTTATTATAAAACAATTTCAATTTGATTAATGATATTTGGTGACTTGCTTATTAAAATTTTGAATCGAGTCGTGTTCTACTTTCTTTATTCTTCTCCATTTGGCTTTTAATTTGCTAGTTCCCATCAATATGCTATTTTAAATAATCTTTCAAACTTATTACTTCATAGATTGTATTGTCCAAGCACAACTCAACCAGTGTATTGAGGTTAACATAATCTCCAAAGGCTATCTTACCTCCAACATGCTCTACAAAGTCAAATAAACAGTGACAAAATTTATTGTTGCAAGCCTATGTTTTTTTTTTTATTTTCTCATAAATGTCAAAATGTAAGAATAATTATACAAAAAGTTATTTATCTTTTAACTTTTTTCAGTGCATTCTTATATTCCCCAAATTTTTCAAAGATTAGGCCAATATAATGTACAGCACAAGGAGACTAATATAAATGCTTCTTCTTCTTCATAATTTTGCCCCTGCAACCTTATAAGCACTAGCATTATATGTTATCACCAGAGATATCAAGTGCTCCCCAATCTCCTCAATAAGATCATCAAGCATTCCAAAAATAAACCAACATCTTTTACTTAATCAGATGCATCAATGGACTTCAAGAATACTATGTCATAAGGGTTATTGATTAGTATATTTATCAATTTTCTACTCTTTATATCAAAAAATCCATTAGACAAGATAGAAAACTCTATATGGCTCAAAGTCCTTTTAATTTCCTAAATGTTTTTCCAAGTATTTATCAACTCCTTCAAAATCTATGTCCTCAAATATATATGAATGGAGGTTTCAAACCTCACCCAAATGCTCCAACTAAATGGATCATGTTATAATAAAAAGGGGAGGTTGCAACATTAAAGAGGATAGCATTCTCATTAAAAAATCCACTTATACTCATGCACATCCTTATCTGTACCAACTTAGCATTCTTTGGGTTAGGTTTTACCATGTAAAAGGTTTGTCTTCCTATCTATCCTCTACTATATTCGTTGTGTACTAATCCAAGGAACCCCTTGCACTCCTAGAGGACATGGGTTATAATGTGAAAGATGAATCCTGGTCACTAAACGCGCTCTCGTAGTTCGAGTCAACATCGATTATGTTATTAAACTATTTCTGACCCAAATGCCTTGACATTATTGACTTATTCATATATGTTTTAAACCCCTCCCTCACGGTTGTTGACCTTGATTTTGAGGTCCACAACGGTATCAAACACTTTGGCACAAGATAAGGCATTCTTGTGTACTCTAGATAAGTGCTCATTCATCCTAATAACACCACTTTTCACAACCTTCTCATAATAATTACATTTGAAATACACATACATCTTGTCACCGCCTCCCACATTAACATGACATCTATGTTTCCACACCATGCCCTCCCTATGACCTAATATGATTTTACCTTTGTATCTAACCATCCTCTATAAAACCCTATAATAACAAGTTCAACAACAACACCACAACAACATCAAGCCTTTGTAATAACAAGTTAAGAACAAAAAAAATCAAGTTAATAATAATGATTTGAAGTTTAAAAATTAAAATTCAAGTCCAGTTTTCTAAGAAAAATCTAGCAACATAACAGCCCTAAATCACTCGAATAGTAGGATGAACCTGTTGCACAAGTAGCACCTAGCTACTAGAAGCGCGTGTGAAATTTTGTGTTCAAGTATTTGATTTTGTAGAAAAATTAAAATGCATGCAAGCTTTGGGGAGATCAGAAGAATATACACAAGTTGCTAACTCAAGGCAACGAGTTAAACAGTGAATAATATACACAAGTAGAGGAGAAACTACATAAATTCAACAATAAAATATGTTAAAACTGTTTGCACCACAGCATTGAAGGTCTACAAAACATAATTCCTACTGTAGGCTCATTATATAGAGCTAACTCCATGGAATATTATGTCATATATTATTTAAGAAGATTTAGATTTCCGCTATGTTTGTAATCTTAGCCTTCTAGTGTTTAATGTGCTATTATAATTGTACCATAAGCTATATAGTGAAGGCCATGAATGTAAAAGGATTAATCACCGAACAACATAAAAGCTTTTTTTTCCTGAACATTGTTGGTATGTTTCATCATAGGGATTCGCCTTGCCAAAATATATAAAAAAATAGTAGAAGTTGAGATAGGTACTTGAACTCTCTATTTTTAGTTGGTACTTTATACTTGTAAAAAGAGATTACAATGGCTCTCGAAATTTTCTAATCATAGCAAGAAAAAGGGGCGAGATCATTACCTTTGCAGTAAGAGAGCAAGCGAACATCATCAAATAGGAAAACTCAAACAACAATGTCAAAAATGAGGCAGAGAAGATGGCAAAGAAGCAAGTAAACTCAACCAGCAACGAATAAATGGAGAAGCTAAATCATGCCAAACGCCAAAAAATGCAAAGTTAAATCTCACAGTAAGTCTAAGCTCCACTCACGACATTTTCAACATTTTTATCCTAAATCCCATATTTCATAAATTCTATATTTCCACGGATTTGCAAGAAGAAGCACACGAAAGAGGAGAAAATTAGGTTACCTTCACAGCAAGCACCTATCCCGACTTCTGATCAAATAGCAACAATGATGTCATCGAAGGAGTTGGAGAAGCTTTCTTAAGCAACTCTTTCAGAATTCTACTTCACACCAAGTTGAAGTATCAACGCAAGAGGAAAATCAAATTTTAGAAGGGCCTAGGGCTATGTTATGAGGGCAAGGACAAAAAATGTAGGCAAATCCAAACAATAACAAAGAAATGACGAGGTAGATTTAGCTTTAGGTTTAAGCTTCTATAAAAATAATAATAAATTTGATAAGTTGTATGCCTCATGATAGTGAGGCAAGGCATGCCTCAGCCCAAATGAGACGTACGCCTCACAAGATAAGCTCAAGACAGGCGCCTTGAGATATTATATTTCTTAATTGTAAACATTTTTGTAGCATTGAAACTTGACCTAAACCTATAAATGAAAAATCAAGGGGGATGTTTAAAGCATGCTCATGTTACATCATTCTTATACTTTCTAACATTGAAATCTAGTAAGATTCTTAGAGCTTTTCTCTCAAGATCTATCTTCTTTATTTAAGCTCAAACTATGATTGATAGTAAGATCTTAATACACACAAAGACACATTTGAATCCAACAACACCGCCTCACCATACTTATATATTATATTTCCTAGATACATGAATCCAAAATCGTGAAATGCATCCAACATTACTCCCCTCCCTTGCTAAAGCTTTGTACCACTTAAGGGGCTGTTTGGTATCGGATTTATCGTCGGATTTAAATCAGATTTACGCTAAATCCAGCCAAACAGTTTACATCGCGCGTTAAATCCCTGGATTCAATAAATCCCGGATTTACTAAATCCATCGGTTCGGTGGATTTAATGGGATTTAAAGAGTGGCGGAAGACTTATCGGCGGCGCCCGTGTCACCGAAGCTCAACAGTAGTCGATGAAGCGCGCGAAAGGGAGAACCTTCACAGCCAACAAGCTCCCGTTGTTGCTTCCGATCAAAATATCGTAACTTCCGACCTGACAGGAAGGGAAAGTCGTCGAAGGAGCGAAGTCGAACAGCCACGAAGTAGCCGAAGTAGTGACACGCGCAATCTCTACACCTCCTATGAAGCAACGAAGCCGAACAACAACGACGAAAAAAAAAATGAAAGGCAAACCCTAGATGCCTCAAAGTTATTATTAATTAACTTAATTAATATAATTTACATAATTAATTAATTAATTAATAGTATAATCAGTGCATAAATTAATTATCTAATTTAATTTAATTGATTAATTAATGATATAATTAGTAATTAACTATTAATACAATTAGCTTATTTAATACTTCAACTGTCATTTTCATCCATGCTATTTTGTAATTTGTTTTTTATTAAATTTTCGATCATTTTATATGAACTAAAATTGGTTTTATTATGTTTTATGTAATAATATTGATTTCATAAATATCTACTTTAAATTTAAATTCCTAACCACCATAAATCCTGATATATGTTACCAAATAATTTCTCATGATTTAACAGGATTTAACATTTAGCAGACCAAACAGTTTTCAAAATTTAACACATTTCGGTTTTACTAAATCCGGATTTGCAGGATTTATTAAATCCCACTACAGTTAAATCCCACTTGTTGCCAAACAGCCCCTAAAACTGATCACAGACCACTTTATGGCTCCAAAAATTGCAACTTGTTTATTAGAAAACTAGCACTCAAGCCGACTCAAGTCAGCAATAAAACTTAAGGATTGTTGCAAGAGAAAATAATCCTTATAAAGAACGCGTGGCATGAAAAAACAAAACCTCGGGGGTAGCCCGCGGATAGTGAACTCCGGCGGAGATGAGCATCCGTCGCTTGCCACCGATGATAAGAGCTCTGTGATCATAGGTGACATTGAAGGGCTCGAAAAACCCCCCGACAACCGCGATGGACACCACGGCCGCGAGCAGCGCCGTGGCCACGATGAAGGTTAGCCTTTGGCTTCGAAACCCTAGCATTAGAACTCGATCGTCTACGCTTTATCAAATCCAATTATATTTAATTATTTATAGGGAGATATCAACTCAGAGAATGTTAGGCTGAGCTTTTATAGGAACACCAGTAGAGTAATGAGTTTGCAAGAGTGAGGCATCCTGCCGTATGACGAGGTGTTGAAAGGATTAGATTAAAAATGAAGAAGAAAGTTCGCAGCTCTAGAATACAGTTGTGAAGAGGAGAAATTATTCTGTGTGGAATCTGATCATAGCAATGTGTTCGGCAGCGAATAAATTCATTACGCGTGGTTTGTCTACGTGGCAAGTAAGGCCCGACCCGTTCGTCATTTCGGACCAACTGCAGATGAAAAGACCGATGGCCCGCCCAGTAAATACAATGAAAAACGCGGAAAATTTTAACATTTTCGAAATTCCAGATTTCTCTCCATTCGCTCCAGCACTCCCGAGCTTCCTGCAAAAAAAAATTTCTGAAAAATCCATCAATCTCTTTTGCTCAACATGGAGGATTCACCTGCAAAGAGAAAGATGCGTAAATTCTTACAATGACATAAAACGAACTACGTATTTCTATGATATTCAACGCGTATTTGCTGAAGAAACCAAAAAATAAAATCAAATTATTCCGAGTATCTATAAAAGATTATATTTATCACACCATATTCGTTATTTCTGCTAATTTATTTTGTATACAATGTGTATATTCTGCGTAAATGTCGCTTATTTTCTGCGTATAAGTTAAAGACAAATCCTAACGTTTTATAATAAATACTTTGGAACTTTAAATCATAAAACTAAACTTCCAATAAAGAAAAAACGATTAGTGTACCCTAAACCCTAGATTTCTGCTGATATTTTTCTTATCATTTGCGTAGATGTCTGG